AAGAAATGTTTACAGAATTCTAACTGGGAAACCTAAAGTGGAGATACCACTTGAGAGACAGGTTCTGGTGAAGGCAATAATGAATTCTTGGTCTCATGAGATGTGGGGAATATCCTATCTACGCTCTGTAGTCTTGATATCGACAGTGTCATTAAGAAAAGAATGGCTCTGTTCCATGGAGTTGATATATGTACGTAGTTTAGAACCCCGACGTATTAAAAACGAATAAAAGAAAGATGCATGTACTTTGGACGTTCTGCTTGCCTTATAAAAACTTAATACTTAACAGTATAGATTCCTATAAAATTACTGGCTTTTGAGAAGACGTTTGTATGTTGATATGGCTGTAATTCTTTTGTCTGCTGCATATTAGTGAACAAAATTAAACACAAATAACAATATATTTGTGTTAAAGATAAAAATTGTTAAGAAATTTAAAATCCACTGCTTGTTTAGAAGTTTGTGCTTGCTTTTGAGCAGTAGTGTTACGAAAATTACTAAGAAGCCATCTCCCATGTGCATGAGCAGGTCCAGGGAAGAGCTTAATGAATCTTTCACCTGTTGTGGAGTGCTCTGGCAAGAGCTGGTTGTTGTAAATGTACGGGAAGAAATAGTTTCATGCAGGGAACTAGATCTTGATTTCCGGCAGGGCAGGAATTGTTCTCTTTGCTCCCACATCCGGTAACTGGTCCGACCAGCGTACTGTAACCACAGGGTGCCAAAGATGTTTCCTCAGCAATAAAGTGCCTGGGATGATCACCCATCACCGTCTAATGCTGAGGATAAGAATGCGTTCATGTGTCTACATAGTTTGGTGCTTAATTAACCCTTTAATGATGGAGGACATTTACTTCCTACTCACTCTTTGGGAGTCTCTAGGTCTTCCTAGTGATCTCTTTCCTTCTAACTTTCCCACCAGTATCCTGCATGCATTCCTCTTCTCCCTGATTCTTGCTCCATGGCCATCTCATCTCTGAATTTATCATTCTAATTATGTATTCTAATAATGTATATTCTACAATGTAAAAATCATTCTTCCTCTGCTCAGACTACATCTACAACCCTATCGAGGCCCGAAGGCAAAAGGCTGCTCGTGTGAGGGGCCATAGGGTGAAAGGCACGAATCCAAGGGGCCATAAGGCAACCAACACCCTTGGGGTCAGTGGAAAAGAGGCCCATAGCTGCCACAGTCCTGCGTCATCAAGGGTAAGTAATTTCACACCATACACTGTGGAACTTCTCTAAATTACTGCTCTAATTGAGTTAATTTATTTTTCAGTATCTTTGGGTGGGGTGGGGCTGATCACCATGTGGCCTAGTGTATCAACCCAGGAATGATGAACCTTGCAACTCACCAGATTCACATAAATAAACCCACATAAAAGGCCATGAAATAAACTAAATTTTATGATCATAACAGTTTGTCAGTTATATGTGAAGTGAAGGAAAGTCCACATTTTATCTCCAGAAGATCACGTCATGGCAGTGTAACATTTACGATGGGGTACCCAAAAGAAACCGAACTAATTTTTTTGTGGGCAGAGCTTTTGTAGTACCGCGTTTTGCCAATATGAGTGCATAGAGCTAACATTCCTGAGTCGATAAGCCTACTACCGTTGCTTCAGAAGGTAAGGACTAGTTTCGGCAGAGTTTATAGTGACAACTGTTTTGTGTGATCACCGTTTTTGCAATGGCTGATTTTCGTGAACAGCATGCGGCGGTGAAATTCTGCTTTTTGCTTGGGAAAAGTGGAACAGAAACTCTTGAAATGTTAAAAACGGCGTACAAGGACAATGCTATGGGGAAAACTCAAGTGTTTGAGTGGTTTTCCCGTTTCAAAAATGGTGAAATGTCAATTGATGACAAACCTCGTTCTAGTCGTCCTTCCACGGTCCGAACACATGAAAATGTTGAAAAAATTCATGAAATCATCAAGGAAGATCGACGACGGACCATTGAAGAAATTGTGGAGCTGTCAGGAGTGACTTGGAGCTCAGTTCAGCAAATTTTGACAGAAGATTTGGGAATGAAAAGGGTGGCTGCGAAATTCGTGCCACGACTGCTGACTGCTGGACAAAAACAAGGTCGCGTGGAAGCATGCTGTGCTTTGAAAGAAGAGTCCCGAAATGATCAAAACTTTTTTTTGTTTCCTTGAATGAAAAGAGACATGAAAGGAAAGTGCTTTGCTGATGTTGCTGAGGTGAAGGAAAAAACGACGGAGGCGCGGTCAAGCATCTCAGAAGATGAATTTAGACAATGTTTTGAAAAATGGAATAAAAGACTAGACAAGTGTATTACTGTAAGTGGAGAGTACTTTGAAGGGGATTGAAGGTTTGTGCTTAAAATTTGAATAAATAAGGTTAAAAAAAAATAAGTTTGGTTTCTTTTGGGTACTCCCTCGTATGTATAGTGTGCAGGAAATACCATACCTTAAATCCAAAGTATTGAGTCATGGCTGTACAACAGTTATAATACCATGGCATTATGGTGTTGTGTTTGTAGATGCATGTGTTGGGGGGGGGGCACTACCTTCTTTGCAGGAGATGTAGATCAGCCTACTCTCTGGGTGGCCCCTCTAGTTTTATGGCTCTGTGTGGTCCATGTCATTAAAGAAAGGAGTCTGCTAGGTTCTCCCAGAACATCTTGTTTGTATTTTTGAAATGTCAATGAGTTCTGATAACATGGGGATATTATTGAACATTATATACAGTGGTCAGGTTTGCAGAGTCTAGTGCACACCCCCCTTAGTAAGCCTACAGTATATAACCCAAAAATGCTAATTTAATAACACATTATTTGATAATATTGAGATAGTATGAGGTTTGCCGCAATGCAGCCTCAGTGACCTTAGAAGATTATTTCCTGTTGTTATGTGATCTGTGTATGTGTATGTAGTAAGATATGTCACGCATAGTTCATATTCAAGAAGTCCCAAGTTTGATTCTCATCCTGAAGGCGTCTTGTCTTGAACAAGATCCTTCCGTGATTTTCGTCAATCCTCCAGGCAAACACAGAAATAGTTCCTTATACATACCCTAATGACATCCTTGCAGATCCTTCCCAATTTGAAGTTTCAATTCGTCTTTTAATTCGACACTATATGTACTATGTAAACTCAGCAGCAGTTATTAAATAAGCTGAGAATTATATCTTTTTTGACACTTACTGCTTTATATTTTGGGTAAAATGGTCTCTTGTATTATTTAGCCTTAACTTAGCAGACTGGTAATTTTCCATACCACCTAGGACTAGGCTTTGAAATAAGGGGGCTGATGGAAGCATGGTTTTATTGTTGGCAGATATTGGCAATGGAGGATGTTCACACCAGTCCATGCCCTCAGTCCATGGATGATGTCAGCACTGCAGTAAATTGTGCTTATGCAACCTTGATGCATGACCAGCAGTTGCCATATGTGCACGCACCTGGATTTGAAATTACCAGCATATTGAGGGAGAGTCCTGATGTTGCCACTCTGATAGAATTTGTTCAACTGGAGCTCCCAAAATGGGAATTTTTTGTTTAAATTAAGTTTAACCGTTCAGCGTGGTTTGACGTGTATGTCGTCAGGTATTTAAATCGTCTGGGGGGGTTCGACGTCTATGTTTCGTCCAGCTGCACACCTATGTTATAACGCCCATAATAATTGATTGTTTTGCTGTAGATTGTTAGATTTTTCGCTGGCCTGTTGTCAGTAGAACAGAGTATAATAAGCCACGACTTTATCTGCGCTAAGTCATCGTTACATATGCCTGTCTTGCAGCAAAGTTCCTGTTACTCTTGCGAGCGGTTTCTTCGTTCTACTGTTATGAATGGCGTGTTTTCTTTGCTATGAAGTTATAAACAGCAGAGACTGATATGTGCTGTGTTTATAATATCATATTGCCCTGAGCTGGCCACACTAACACACTCAATTGGAATTCTTAGAAGAGGGATGTCCAAAAATTTATTCTTGCAAAATCGATTGATTTCGCACAGTACATAGCACCCAGTTCTTAGAAAAATGTCACGAATTAAGGCAGAACACTGTGGTCACCCCCT